GGGCGGCTTCCTCCCAGGCAGAAGGGCTGGCGGAGGCCATGGCTCCTTTGGCGAGTCCTCCCCGCACACAGCCGGCAGGCAGGCGCCATGTTTGAATCGCCAGCACCTGACTCTCACCTTTGGCCCCGCCCCGTGATTCCCAGAGGCCCCGCCCCTCCCCACCTGCAGCTCATCCAGGCCATTTCCAGGGGCTTTTCTGTGCAAGTGGCCTCTCGAGCCTCAAGATTAGGACTTTCCTAAAATCTCTCAAACAGGCAGCAGCGGGCCCCATACGGCTTGATAAGCAGCCCCAGGCCTGGCACTAGCGGCAGCTGCATTGGTTCATAGCTTGGCCTCTCCTGGACAACGCCAAGCTCCGCACAAGTAGCAGCCAACTACCGTTTGCTGTGTAGCTCATGCTACATGGCCCTGGGCAAGGCACTGGCAGAGGCTGACTTTGCACCTCCAGGGAGGCCCCAGAGACATTGTACCCAGTGGTCAGACTCAACCACAGTGGATTACAACCCTACCACATCCACGAGTGACACACTCAAGGGGCACACTTGGTGAACACCAAAGCTCCACTGAAGTAAATCCTGCTCCATAGGGGTGTCTCCAGCACAGCAGCTCTTTGGCTGTAGTTGCAGCTGGTCCTCACAGCTGATTGGCCTGGGGGTCAGTTCCTCCCAGTGACGCCAACAGCAACCAAGGCTCAACTACAACAGGACAGTGCACACAGCCCACACAGGGGAGCACCTAGAAGGCCCAGCTCAGGTGACTGGGGAGGCTGAGCCACTAGACCCTACAGGACACCTTCTACACAAAGACTCTACAAATTCCAGGAGACATAGCAGCTCTACCTAATACATAGAAACAAACACCCGGAAGCAGCCAAAATGTGGAGGCAAAGAAACATGTCACAAAAGAAAGAACAGAAGAAATCTCTAGAAGAGGAACTAAATGAAATAGATCCAAGCAAGATAACAGGTACAGAGTTCAGAATTTTGTTTATAAGGATGTTAAAGCATACTGTTAGGGAAATAACTGAGAAAATCGATAGCATAATAAAGTACCAATTTGAAATGAAGGTTACATAAACTGAAATGAAAAATAATTGAGAGGAAGTCAACAATTGAGTAGAGGACACTGAGAATCAAATGAGCAATTTGGAACATGAGGAAACAAAAAACACCCAACCGTAAGAGCAAAAAGAAAAAAGAATCCAGAAATATGAAGACAGCATAAGGAACCTCTGGGACAACTTTAAGAGATCCAACATTTGTATTATTGGGGTGCCAGAAGGAGAAGAAAGAGAGCAAGAAATTGAAAACCTATTTGAAAAAATAATGACAGAAAACTTCCCCTACCTGAGGAAAGAAATAGACTTACAAGTCCAGGAAGCACAGGGGGTCCCAAACAAGAGGAATCCAAAGAGGCCCACAGCAAGACACATCATAATTAAAATGCCGAAGGTTAAAGATAAAGAGAGAATCTTAAAAGCAGCAAGAGAAAAACAGTTAGTTACCTACAAGGGAGCACCCATACGACTGTCAGCTGATTTCTCAACAGAAACCTTGCAGGCTAGAAGGGAGTGGCAAGAAATATTCAAAGTGATGAAAAACATGGAACTACAACCAAGATTGCTCTACCCAGCAAAGCTATCATTTAGAACTGAAGGTCAGATAAAGAGCTTCACAGATAAGAAAAAGTTAAAGGAGTTCATCACCACCAAACCAGCACTACAGGAAATGTTGAAGGGCCTTCATTAAGAAGAAGCTAATGAACAAA